TGTTTTGTCCAGTTTGTCAAATATCAGATGGTTGTAGATGGCTTCCGAGGTCTCTGTTCTGTTCCATTGGTCTATATCTCTGTTTTGGTACCAGTACCATGCTGTTTTGATTACTGTAGCTTTGTAGTATAGTTTGAGGTCAGGTAGCATGATGCCTCCAGCTTTGTTCTTTTTGCTTAGGATTGTCTTGGCTATGTGGGCTCTCTTTTGGTTGCATATGAAGTTTAAGGTGTTTTTTTCCAGTTCTGTGAAGAGGGTCATAGGTACCTTGATGAGGATAGTGTTGAATCTATAAATTACTTTGGGCAGTATGGCCATTTTCACAATATTGATTCTTCCTAATCATGAGCATGGAATGTTTTTCCATTTGTTTGTGTCCTCTCTTATTTCCTTGAGCAGTGGTTCGTAGTTCTCCTTGAAGAGGTCCTTTACATTCTTTATTAGTTGTATTCCTATGTTATTCTCTTCATAGCAATTGTGCATAGGAGTTTGCTCTTGATTTGGCTCTCTTTTAGTCTGTTATTGGTGTATAGGAATGCTTGTGATTTCTGCACATTGATTTTGTATCCTGAGACTTTGCTGAAGTTGCTTATCAGTTTCAGGAGATTTTGGGCTGAGACGATGGGGTCTTCTAAATATACAATCATGTCATCTGCAAATACAGACAATTTGACTTCCTTCTTTCCTAATTGAATATCCTTTATTTCTTTTTCTTGCCTGATTGTTCTGGCTAGAGCTTCCAATACTATATTGAATAGGAATGGTGAGAGAGGGCATCCTTTCCTAGTGCCAGATTTCAAAAGGAATGCTTCCAGTTTTTGTCCATTCAGTATGATATTGGCTGTGGGTTTGTGGTAAATAGCTTTTATTATTTTGAGATACGTTCCATCAATACCTAGTTTATTGAGGGTTTTTAGCATAAAGGGCTATTGAATTTTGTCAAAGGCCTTCTCTGCATCTATTGAGATAATCATGTGGTTTTTGTCTTTGGTTCTGTTTATGTGATGGATTAGGTTTATAGACTTGTGTATGGTGAACCAGCCTTGCATCCCTGGGATGAAGCCTGCTTGACCATGATGGATAAGCTTTTTGCTGTGCTGTTGCAATCAGTTTACCAGTATTTTATTGAAGATTTTTGCATCTATGGTCATTGTGGATATTGGCCTGAAGTTTTCTTTTCTTGCTGAGCCTCTGCCGGGTTTTGGTATCAGGATGATGTTGGTCTCATAAAATGATTTGGGAAGGATTCTCTCTTTTTGGATTGTCTGGAATCGTTTCAGAAGGAGTGGTACCAGCTCCTCTTTGTATATCTGGTAGAATTTGGCTATGAACTCATCTGGACCTGACCTTTTTTTGGTTGGTAGGCTATTAATTTCTGCCTCAACTTCAGCCTTTGTTATTGGTCTATTCAGGGTTTCAACTTCTTCCTGGTTTAGGCCTGTACAGGAATTTGTCCATTTCTTCCAGGTTTACTGGTTTATGTGCATAGAGTTGTTTGCTGTAATCTCTAATGGTAGTTTGTATTTCTGTGGAATCGGTGGTGATATCCCCTTTATCGTTTTTTATTGCATCTATTTGATTATTCTCTCTTTTCTTTGTTATTAATCTGGCTAGTGATCTGTCTATTTTGTTGATCTTTGAACTCTTAAGCATATCTTGCAGGGTTGGTGTACCCTCAGCTTTTACTTATCTGGGAAGGATTATTATTCTTCATTTATGCTGGATAATTTGCTGAGGATAGTATCCTTGACTGACAATTTTCTTCTTTCAGCACTTTGAATATATTATTTCATTCTCTCCCATTTCTTTCTGTTGAGAAGCCTACTGTTAGTCTGATGAGAGTTCCCTTGTAAGTGACTAGATGCTTTTCTCTTGCTGTTTTTAGTATTCTCTCTTTGTCTTTGATTTTTGTATTTTGACCATAACGTGCCATGGAGAAGACCTTTTTGTGTTGTATCTCTTTGGGTATCTCTGAACTTCCTGTATCTGGATATCTACATCTCTTGCTAGAGTTGGAAAGTTTCCAGCTATTATTTCATTAAGTAGATTTTCTTTCCTTTATTTTTTCTTTTTATGAGACAGTTTTGCCTTGTTGCCCAGGCTGGAGTGCAATGGCGCGATCTCGGCTCACCGCAACCTCCGCCTCCTGGGTTCAGGCAATTCTCCTGCCTCAGCCTCCTGAGTAGCTGGGATTACAGGCACGTGCCACCATGCCCAGCTAATTTTTTGTAGTTTTAGTAGAGACGGAGTTTCACCATGTTGACCAGGATGGTCTCGATCTCTTGACCTCGTGATCCACCCGCCTCGGCCTCCCAAAGTGCTGGGATTACAGGCTTGAGCCACCGCGCCCGGCAATCTTTATTTTTTCTCTTCATCTCTGGGACCTCAAAAATTCAAATATTTGGTTGTTTTATGATGTCCCATTAGGAGCTTTGTTTATTCTTCTTTTTTTCTTTTTCTATTTTTGTCTGACTAGAATATTTCAAAAGAATTGGCTTTATATTCTGAAATTCTTCTACTTTATCTAGTCTGTTGTTGAAGATTTCAAATGTATTTTATATTTTATTCAATGAATTATTCTGTTTCGAGATTTCTGTTTGGTTCTTTTTTTATAATGAAGTTGCTAAATTTCTTCTTATCCTGAGATTTTTTTTTTCTCATTTCTTTGTATTGTTTTTCTAAATTCTCTTGTATCTCACTTGGCTTCTTTAATGTAATTATTTTGAATTATTTTACTAGGATATAGCATTTTTCCCTCCATTGGAATGTTTCAGGAGAATTATTATGTTCCTGGGGTGATGTCATGTTTCCTTCTTCTTCTTCTTTTTCTTTTTTTTTTTAATATCCTATGTCCTTATGTTGATACCTGCACATCTGACATAATTGCTACTTCTTGGTTTTTTTGAATTTGATTTTGTAGGGGAGTCTTTTTTCCTAAAGCTCTTTCTATGGTGTAGTTAGATAGGAAATTTTGCCTTTGTTTCTGTGTGTGTCCAGTAGGATTGTTATATAGTATCGTGATTTTTTTAGGCTGTAAACAGTGTCATTGGTATCTGTGATTTCTTCTTTGGCTTTGGGTGTGATGGTCAGTGGAGGGTGCGGTGAAGTTTTATTGGGGATGAGGAGTGATACAGTTTAGATATGAGTGAAATGAGAAAGGTTCTATCTACCAACTTTGTTTTTTGGCTAATAAAACCAATAAAGGTTTTATTGGCTTGAATTGATGGTTTCAGTTGATGAAAGTACTTTGTATGCATGTGTGCTATAGAAAAATAAAATATGTTTGCTTTCTTCATTTCTTTCAGATTTGGAGTCGAAATATGGACCTGAGAAAGTATCTTCAGAAAGTGATGTCTCTGAAGTAAATTTACCCAAACAGGTTATAAAGCAAATAAGTAAAACTGTTGGCCTTGAGGCCTTTTATTTTAGAAATGACTCAGAATATAGAAGGTTTGAGGGACTGCAGGGATATCAAGAAGGATATATCAATCAGAAGTTGATGAGCTATGAAAAACTGCCTACTTATATTCCTCATGCTTCTCTTATTCACAATACACATAAACCATATGAATGTAAGGAATGTGGAAAATACTTTAGTCGTGGTTCAAATCTTATTCAACATCAGAGTATTCATACTGGGGAGAAACCCTTTGAATGTAAAGAATGTGGGAAAGCCTTTCGACTTCACATACAATTTTCTCGACATCAGAAATTTCATACTGGTGAGAAACCTTTTGAATGTAAGGAATGTGGAAAGGCCTTTAGTCTTCTCACCCTGCTTAATCGCCATAAGAATATTCACACAGGCGAGAAACTGTTTGAATGTAAGGAATGTGGTAAGTCCTTTAATCGGAGCTCAAACCTTGTTCAACATCAGAGTATTCATGCTGGTGTAAAACCATATGAATGTAAGGAGTGTGGGAAAGGCTTTAATCGTGGTGCACACCTTATTCAGCATCAGAAGATTCATTCCAATGAGAAACCCTTTGTATGTAAGGAATGCGGGGTGGCCTTTCGATATCATTACCAACTTATTGAACATTGCCAAATTCATACAGGTGAGAAACCCTTTGAATGTAAGGAATGTGGAAAGGCCTTTACTCTTCTGACAAAGCTTGTTCGACATCAGAAGATTCACACTGGTGAGAAGCCCTTTAAATGCAGGGAATGTGGGAAGGCCTTTAGTCTTCTCAACCAGCTAAATCGCCATAAGAACATTCACACAGGTGAAAAACCATTTGAATGTAAGGTATGTGGGAAGGCCTTTAATCGTAGCTCAAACCTTATTCAACATCAGAGTATTCATGCTGGTGTAAAACCATATGAATGTAAGGAGTGTGGGAAAGGCTTTAATCGTGGTGCACATCTTATTCAGCATCAGAAAATTCATTCCAATGAGAAACCTTTTGTATGTAGAGAATGTGAGATGGCCTTTAGATATCAATGCCAACTTATTGAACATTCTCGAATTCATACTGGTGACAAGCCGTTTGAATGTAAAGACTGTGGGAAGGCCTTCAATCGTGGCTCAAGCCTTGTTCAACATCAGAGTATTCATACGGGTGAGAAGCCCTATGAATGTAAGGAGTGTGGGAAGGCTTTTAGGCTTCACCTACAACTTTCTCAACATCAGAAAACTCATACAGGTGAGAAACCCTTTGAATGTAAGGAATGTGGGAAATTCTTTCGTCGTGGTTCAAATCTTAATCAACATCGAAGTATTCATACTGGAAAGAAACCCTTTGAATGTCAGAAATGTGGGAAAGCCTTTCGACTTCATATGCACCTTATTCGACATCAGAAATTGCATACTGGTGAGAAACCCTTTGAATGTAAGGAGTGTGGGAAAGCTTTTCGACTTCATATGCAACTTATTCGACATCAGAAATTTCATACTGGTGAGAAACCCTTTGAATGTAAGGAATGTGGAAAGGTTTTTAGTCTTCCCACCCAGTTTAATCACCATAAGAACATTCACACAGGTGAGAACCCATCTTGAATCTAAGGAATGTGGGAAGTCCTTTAATCGTGTCTCAAACCGTGTTCAACGTCAGAGTATGTATGTTGGTGTAAAACCAGGTGAATGTAAGGAGTCTGGGAAAGGCTTCAATCATGGTTCAAACCTTATTCAGCATCAGAAAATTAATTCTAGCGAGAAACTCTTTGTATGTAAGGTGTGGAGGAAGATCTTTAGATATCATTACCAACTTATTGAACATTACCAAATTCATACTGGTGGAAAACCCTTTGAATGTAAAGAATGTGGAAAAACCTTTAGTTTTCTGACACAGCTTGCTCAACGTTAGGTCATTCATACTGATGAGAAGCCATTTGAATCTGAGGAACATGGGAAGGCCTTTAGTAGTGGCTCAAACTTTGTTCAACATCAGAGTATCCATACTAGTGAGAAACTCTATGAATGTAAGGAGTGTGGGAAAACTTTTAGATTTACTATTGTCTTCACTGCACCTCAAAGAATTCATAACAGTATGAAATCCTTTGAATGTAAGGAATGTGGGAAGACCTTTAGTTGTAGCTCAAAGCTTGTTCAACTTGTTAAAATTCATACCGGTGAGAAACCGTATAATGTAAGGAATGTGAGAAAGCATATGCTGTGGATGATCAGCTTACTCAACATTAGAAAATTCATAATAGAAATTTTATGAATATCAGGAGTGTGGACAAGCCTTCACTGTATATGAAAAATTTACTCAATGCCAGAGAACTCATATGGTTGAGAAATCCTGTGAACAAAAAAGAATGTGCGGCGAACTTTCATCATGGCCTGGGATTTGCGTAACATCAGAGTATTCATACTGCTGAGAAATCCTTTGAGTGTAAGGAATGTGGGGTGTTTTATGGCAACTCTAAATACAGTAGAGTTCAGAGAAGACAATTCTTATGAGAAAGTCTTTGAATGAGGAATATAGGGCAGTTGTCACATTCACAGTATACTCCATATGCAATGCTTTACCAGATACAGGCATACCTCACTTAATTGTGCACACGGTTATTGTGTTTTATGCAATTTGAAGGTTTGTGGCAACCCCACAGTGAGTAAGATGATCAGAGTCATTTTCCAAACATCATGTGTCCATTTTGTGTCTTTATGTCACGTTTTGATAATTCTCAGAATATTTCAAAGTTTTTCATTGTTATATGTCCATCATGGTGACCAATGACCAGTGATTTTGTATGTTACTGTTGTAATTGCTTTGGGATACCACAAACATTGCCCATAAAAGATGGTGAACCTAGTTGATACTTGTTGTGGGTTTTGAAAAAATAGTCAAATATACAATCATATACCCCCACCTAGATACAAAATTGTTAACAATTTGCCATGTTTATTTTTTGTATATTTGTTGTGCCATAGAGAATAAGTTTTACACTTCACGACACTTTACCCCTTATTTAATCAGCATGGGTATCACCCAAACATAAAGACAATATCATATAGCCATAGTATCATAATTACCCTTAAGGAAATTATTCATAATTCTGTAAAAACATTCCATTTTCAGATTTCTTCATTGGCCCCCAAACCATCTTTTATGGCTATTCATACTTAAAGGAGAATCCATTGCAGATTCTGAATTGTACTTGGCTCTCTCTCTTCAGTATATTGTAGCCTGGAAACCCTATAAATGTAAGATCTCATATTTTGGTAGGTATTAGAATTACCTGTGGAACTTAGTAAAACTGCAGAGGCTTAAGCCCTAGCTTATAAGCCTGGGCCTCTGTGTTTTATTTTATTTCTCCAGGTGATTGTGATACCAACCAGAGTTAGAGAGCCACTGGTCTAGAACATTTCTCCTCATTCTTAAAAAATGACATTAAATTTTGTCTAGCCCAGGAAAGTTGTCTGCTGTGTGTTTAGATTTCTTTCTTTATAGTGTCATTTAGCCTTGTTCTCTTTGTTGTATATTCTGTACAAGGGAGTTTGAGTCCAGAGGCTCTGTTAGGTCTAGATTAAACATTTTGGGGAAGAATGCTTTGTAGGTTATTTGTATGTCATGTTTTATTGTCAGAAAACATTTAAGTACAGGTCCTTGAATTAGTGAAACTAAGTTTGATCATTTGGGTAAGCTGGTAGCTACAATGTTAAGTAATCTGTAGAGAGACTTTGTCACCCCTGAAAAATTATAGTCATGTGTATTTTATCCCTGGATTGAATACAAAATGAAAATAGAAATAGACTATTCAGAAATGAATGCCATGAAGGTATCAACATAATTCAACTTGTGTGATATGGCTGACACTGTACTCAGTACAAAATTAGCACCCTCTAGTTTATGCAGGGAGCCAAGGTTGTTTTGTCTGGAACCCTGTTTTTGTTCAGCATTTATCACCAGCATCTATACCATGTCTGGTACATGAGCTGTTGATAAACTTTGAAAAAAATTAAGCACTTAAATCAAGCTATAAAATGTGATACCATTGTGGGATCATGAATTATATTAATTTTTTAAAAGATCAATAGTAATCCTTTATGATTTTATTCCAGTATATTTAAAAATCTATAAAGTGATAATTTATATTGATAGCTTTCTTCTTTTTGTGAATATACCCTTATCAGATTATTATTGTTTTGATAGACAATTCTATTTCTTAACATTTAATTGCACCTATAATCATTAAAGTTATAATTTTCTAAATAATTTTTCAGGTTTTGTTATTGCAATGATTTTATAAATCTTATAAAACACAGTTATATAAAACTTGGCTTTCTAATCTCATGTTCCTATTTTTTATTTCCAGTTTCATCTTTTTTGTATTGATTCTCTTTGACTTTTTTTTTTTTTTTTAACTCAACAGATTCCCTGGGTATTAACCCAGCACAACTCGTTTATGGGTCATTGCACATCCTGGTAGTATCATTAAGGATTTTCATGAAAGATCCCTGGAGACCTTGCAATGAAACTCTTATTATCATGCAATCTTGGCATTTCTAAGTTGGAAGTCAGAGTCCTTTTGCAAACATAATAAAACACTTCAAAGTATTTGCTAAAGTTACAAACCAAGTATGTACAAATTTAAAAACCACCTTATACTTTTAAAAGCAGAAAAGGCATCCAAGGAATATTTCCTTGCTTACAAGCTCAGTGAATGTGCGGAATTCACTTACAAAAAGAATTTTCTCAAATTTAGTTGCCTTTCAAAAAAATTCTTATTTCTTTTATTTGTAATTCTTTGACACTGTTGCTGCTTCAAGGTTTTGGTAATTGGACAATATGGTCTTTATTATGCTATTAACATTTTTACTTGTCCTGAAAGAAGGGAATACAATCAAAGAAACAGAAGGTTGCCGTAACTCGAACCACATTATGATATCAGGATGACCCAGAGCCATGGTTACTAAGCTGTTTAAATTTTTAGTAACAGAGGTGTATTAGAAAGTGATAGGTCAATTAAATAATTTTTTTAATAAATTTAATGATAGAATCCCCTTAAATTATGCTTAGTCAGCAGTATTTAATCTGTTGTCTATTATACACCTAACTGGTCTGTTACCTTTCTTATATATTTATGTATTGCTTATAAATATCTTATTAGAGTAACTCATTTTTAAAACAATATATTTCATCTCCTAGGAGAAGAGGATTGAGTATGTGTTTTTATTCTTTCTCATTATGACATTTGGGTATTTTTTCATTTTGAAATGCTATTGAATATTCCATTTATTTAGTCTGTGGTCTGACCTTCACTCCCTAGCACTGATTTTTATTTGGACCTTCTTTTACCTGATTCATATGAGTTAGGAGTAGCCATTGTATGGATACATTTTTCCCATTCCTAGTATACTGCCCTTTCCAAAAGCGTCTGGCTTACTCAAAGTTTTCTATATTTGTTCCATCCTGCTTTTACAGATGAATACAAATAGCTAACTATACCTTCTAAACAATTAAAGCTAGTGGAAAAAGGCATATAAACAGCTCTTTCTCACCTACTATCAGCAGTAAACTAAGCATTTTTAACTGCAACCTCCTTTTGTACAATTTACAGCCATTTATCTTTTGAGTATGACATGATACTAGATGTATGATAATTATATATTTCATGTGTCAGTGTGAACATGATTTTTAACAGACTTGTTCCAATGAACTTTTATACAGATGGTCCCCAACTTAACAATGTAGACTAATGATTTCTCACTTTATGATGGTGCAAAACTGACATGTTACTATAGTTTGAATATTTGTCTCCTCCAAATCTCATGTTGAAGTTTGATCTCAGAAATGGGAGGTGTCTGAGTCACAGGGGAGGATCCCTCATGAATAAATTAATAAATAAATGAGACTAGGAATTTTGCCTCTTCAACTGAGAGTTGGTGGGGATAATCTGAACCACCATTCTGTTTTTCTGTTGTGAAACCTCTGCCTTACAAGTATATATATATGTGTGTGTGTGTGTGTGTGTGTGTGTGTGTATTTTCACAGCAGTAAAGGAAAATATAATGTCTTATCAAATAAAGAATATCAATAAAGGAAATCATAAAAGGAACCAAATGTAAATTCTGAGTTGAAGAATATAATAATCAAAATAAAAAAAATCATTAAGAGGTCTAAATAAGTTTTATCTATCAGAAGAATTAGAAAATTATGCAACCTCAATTCCACCTTCCCACTAGAAAATAGAATAAGAAAATAAAATTAAGACATAGAATGAGAAAATAGATCAAAGAAAAATGAACAGAGGCTGGGTGCAGTGGCTCATGCCTGTAATCCTGGCACTTTGGGAGGCTGAGGTGGGCAGATCACCTGAGGTCAAGAGTTTGAAAATAGCCTGGCCGACATGGTGAAACCCCATCTTTATTAAAAGTACAAAAATTAGCCAGGCATGGTGGCAGGTGCCTTTAATCTCAGCTACTCAGAAGGTTGTGACAGGAGAAGTGCTTGAACCTGGGAGGCAGAAGTTGTAGTGAGCCGAGATCATGTCACTGCACTCCAGCCTGGACAACAAGAGCGAGACTGTCTCAAGGAAAAAAAAAAAAGAAAAGAAAAATGAACAGAGCCTCAGAGAAATTTAGGACACCTTTAAGTGCACCAACATACATGTAATGAGAATACCAGAAGGTGAGGAGAAAGAGAAGCACAAAAATATTCAAAGAACTAATGGCTAAAAACATCCACAATTTGTTGAATAAACATTATACATGCAAGCATCTGAACAAATGTAAATAGAATGAATTCAAACATGTCCACAAACAAACACATCATAGTAAAAATGCTAAAAGCAAAAGAAAATGTTGATAGCTATAAGAGAAAAGCTGTGTCACAAGGGTACCCCAATAATTAACAGCAGACTTCTCATCAGAAACAATGGAGGGTATAAAGGCAGTGCGATGATATACTGAAAGTACTCAAAGGACAAAAGCTCTGTCAACTATGAATTTTATTCCTGGTAATGATATCTTTCAAAAATAAAGGTAAAATAAAGCCCTTCCTAGATCTATCATATGAGAAATTGCAAAGAAAGTTACTCAAGCTGAAGCAAGTAAATACACATGAAAATTCAAAATTGCATTTTAAGAAAGAAAAAAATTAATATTTTTAATTAAAGGTAATTATAGCCGGGTGCAGTGGCTCATGCATGTAAACAAAGCACTTTGGCAGGCCGAGGCAGGAAGATTGCCTAAGGTCAGGAGTTTGAGACCAGCCTGGCCAACATAGCAATATCCTGTCTCTACTGAAAATACAAAAATTAGCTGGGCATGATCATGTGCATCTGTAGTCCCAGCTACTCAGGAGGCAGAGGCAGCAGAATTGCTTGAACCTGGAAGGCAGAGGTTACAGTGAGTTGATATAGTTCCACTGTACTCTAGCCTGGTTGACAAAGTGAGACTCTATCCCCAACACAAACAAACAAAAAAGGTAATTATAAAAGGCAGCATAAATGCACATTTCTTTTACTCTCTTCTCTTCATAGATTTTAAAAGTAATTATATAATACAATATATTCATAATTGTGTTGTGTTATGGGATGCAGCAAAAGCAGTGTTCAGGTAATTTTATAGCTGTTAGTGTTTACATTAAAAAAGATAGATTTCAAGTCAACAACTTAGCTTCATGCTAAGTTGCTATAAACTAGAAAAGAAGAAACTAAATTTGAAGCTAGCAGAAGGAAAGAAAAATATTAGAGAATAAAAATAATGGAGAAAATTAGTAAAACTAAGCGTTAATTCTTTGAAAAGTTCAACAAAATTGTCAAACCATTAGCTAGTTGATTAAGAGAGAAAACTGAAATAACTAGGATCAGAAATAAAACAGGGAACATTCCTATGAATTGTATAGTAATGGAAAGTATTATTTAAGTGCTTTTAACAGTTGTATGTCAATAAATTGGATAACCTAGACAAAATGGTAAAATTCCTAGAAACATACACATGACTAAGACAATCATGAAGAAATAGAAAATCTGAATATACCTATGACCAGTGAGGTGACTGAATAGCAATCCAATATCTCCTAATGAAGAAAAGCCAAGGACTAGATGGCTTCATTGGTAAAGTCTAGCAAATGATTTTAGATCTTTATTCTTTTCTAGCACTATAGGCATTTAAAGCTAGAAGTCTCTCACTAAAAACATGTTTAGCTGTTTCAAAAACTTTTTGTTTTTATTAAAAATACATTGTAGGCAAGGTGTGGTGGCTCATGCCTGTAATCCTAGCATTTGGCGAGACTGAGATAGGCATTGCTTGAGGCCAGAAGTTTGAGATCAGCCTGATTAATATAGCCAGATCCCATATTTATTTTTAAGAAGTAAAATTTAAAAATACATTATAATTTCTCTTATAATGTATTCTTTGATACATGGAGTATTTAGCAATGTGTTGAATAATTTCAAAATATTTTTGAATTTCCCAAATTTCCTCAGTTTTTAATTTCTAATTTAATTTCATTGTGGTCAGAGAATTTACTTAGCATGACTTACTTTTTAAAACTATTACAATTTGCCATATGGTCTAGTATATTATTTAGTTTAGAAAATGTTGCATGTTGAGTATATATTTTATTATCAGTTGAGGGTTCAATAAATATCAGTTAAGTCAGACTAGTTGGTAGTGTTATTTAAATCTTCTATATCCTTGAAGATTTTCTGTCTAGTGGTTAAAATTTTTGAGAATAGAGTGTTGAAATCTTCAACTTCTATTGTTGAAATGTCATTTTTCTCCCTTCAGTTTTGTCAGTTTGTTTCATGTATGTAGTCTCCTGTTTTTAGGAACATATATGTTCATTGTAGTTTTATTTTTCTGATTAACTCACCCTTTTGTCACGAAAAAATGTCCTTCTTTTCCTCTAGTAACATTTTAAAAGTCTATTTTGTCTGACGGAAATATTAACCTTTCCTGTTCTCTTCTGATCACCACTTGTTTGGTATCTATTTGAATCTTTTTCCATCCTTTTGTTTTCCATGTTTTCAGCTTAAAAAAAAACCTAACATACATCTTAGCTTCAAAAATCTAATTGAGGTTGTTACTAATATAATATCAACAGTCACCAGCCTTGGTGGCTCACACCTGTAATCCCAGCACTCTGGGAGGCCGAGGTGGGAGGATTGCCTGAGGCCAGGAGTTCAAGACCAGCCTGGGCAATATAGTGTGACTGTCTCCACAAAAAATTAGAAATAAAATTTTAATCAAAATAAATTAAATAATATCAATAGTATATAGAAAGTTTGCTGCAATATAGATCCCTTCCTCCCCTTTTGTGCTATCATAGTAACACAAATGTAACACAAATGACAACTTTATACATTACGAACAAAACAATATAATTGTATGGTTTTATGCAGTTATCTTTAATCAGTTAAATTAAGAGGGTAAATATATATTATTTTTTATTTACCTATGTAATGACTTTAATCACTGCTCATTGTTTCTTTGTGTGGATTCAAGTTACCATCTAGTGTTACCTTTCATCCTAAAGAACTTTAATATTTCTGATTAGCAAAGTCTGCTAGCAACAAATGCTTTCAGTCTTTATCTGCAGTTCTCTTGAAGTGTGTTCACATTCTTGTATAGTAAGTGTATGGGTGTGTGCGTGTGAGTGATCAACTTTGCAAAGAGTTTGGTCATTATTTTTCAAGAATTATTCCTTATGATCCATAAATAAAATGTTCGAATATTATATAATTTCTTTTCTTTTTTACTAGACATTCTACTCCTTTATATAATTTCAATTATCCTAGTATTCATACATTTTCAAATTTTTACTACTTTGGACAGTATATTATATAGTGAGCTGTTATTGATTTCTAATTTAATTCCATTTTTCTCAAAGAACATACTTTGTATGACTTGGGTATTGAGCCAGAATAGGGTCTATGCTGCTAAGTGTCCCCTGTGCACATAAGATGAATTTTATTCTTTGAGAAGAGTGTTTCACAAGTGTAAATGAGATCAAGCAGGTTGATATGTTGTAGCATGTATTTGGGTTTGATTTAAAAAAAAATAATCCAACCTGACAATCTTTTTAAGTTAAGGTGTTTAAACCAGTTGCATTTAATGTGATCATTGATACAGTTAAGATTATTATCTTGCTGTTTTCTGTCACAGTTGGGAATGAAAAGACATTTTGCTCTTTATTATTCCATGTTTCCTCCTTATGTAGCATAGCACAGTACACAAATGATTTTGAAAGTTCAATATTGCTAGATTACCACAGTGAAATCGGGCTCTTCCTACAACAAACAAGCCCCCATTTGCATTTGTTTAGACTATTTTAAGAAAATGTGTTAATTATTCATCCCTGAAGATAAGGCAAGTAATTTTCTTTGTACTTTTATCCGTTCTCATGCCGTCCTGAATCACATTTTTTCTGTCTAGATAGCAGGAACATTGTCTTGAAGAATCCAGTACATTTGTTTCTGAAATCTCTCAATTAAACCACACTTCCTCTTCTAGTACAAAATCAACCATTTCTTTAGTTCAAGCTTTTCAAATTTATCCTAAGTCCCTTTCAAATAGTACAAGGTGGAAGCCTATGTTGGGATCTGAGTCAAAGCAGCTACATCTTGACATAATTTAACTTTGAATTCTTCTTTAAAAGTTCTGCTCATTTGCATTCTACTCCATGGAGAGAAAAGGTAATTTACACTGATGCACCAAGAACAGCAACTCTCCTCACAGTTGGGGATCCTCGCCCGTAGCAGCAACCTGTGCACCCCACGGTCTGGAACTCCCACAAATCCATTAGGCTCGGCTCTTTTAGGAGCCATCGACGTATGGTGCGATCCACCTGAATAGACTAGCGCTCAAGGCTTTTGAGGCTCTTTCTGTTCAGGACTGTATTTCCCAGAGGCCACCGCACCGGAATTAACGGTTCCACTTCCGGTCACCAGGGGTCGACGACGTAGTGGGGTAAGGTCTTCCTGTCCTAGGAAGAAATCGGTGGCTGCGGGAGGTCTCCGCGGACTGGGACTCGATCCAGACAGACCCGGCAGTATGGGTGGGTGAGAGGGAGGCCCTCAGAGGGGGAACCTGGGGCGCAGACGGGATCTGCCGGATCCCCAGGCGCGCGTGTGCGCGGGAAGCAGAGGAGAGAAGCTTGTGCGATCATGAGTGACGGAGGGGACTGTGTGTGTTCATGAGGCCCTGTGCACAGGACCGGAAGGGCGTGTGGACGCAGCGCGTTTTGCTGGGGCTGTGTGAGTGTCACTGTTCTGGTGGCTCTAGGCTCCTGCTGCTTCCTCTGTCTTTCCCCTTCACAGCTGCGGAGGCTGCAGCAGAGGAAGGGCCCCAGCAGGGAGGTCAGACATTGAGCCGAGAATGAAGCTTTCCATAAGAACGCAGATCGGGGCTTGGGATGGGAATCTGAGAGCTGAAAGTGCCTCTTGAGGGTCCCCCCAGAAGGGCAGCTACATGTTGAGTACCCAGCGTCCCTCAGAGCTCTGTCCCCAGGAACCAGCTTTGAACTCGGACCGATTCCTTCTCCTTTTATTTCCTTCTCATTTCGTAAGAAGCGAGGGAAGTTGTGGCCCTGGAGAGTGCTTTCAAACTTAGTCTGCGCTCCAAGAAAAGCCTGGAGCCTCACGCTTGCCATATCTTTTCCCAGTCGTGCAATTATCCAAAAGAAGGACCGGAAGGAGGATGATAGTGTTGTTTCACACTTAAAAGTCAACAGTGAGTTTGTGCTTTGTATTTAAGATTTGTATTTTTTATTTTAGAATATAGAAGTTCCAGTGAATTTCAGGAGAATATGCAAATTGATTCTTGCTCCCTCCCATCTTG